CCCCTGCTCCTGGCACCCCCTGCGGGGAGCGGGGCCAGCAGCCAAATGGGCCGGCAAACCCTACCTGGGCAGAGTCCTCCCCTCGCCCTCGCCTCCCCACCACACACCCAGGCCAGGGAAGAGCTTTACCATCGACCCAGCGCCTCCTTTTCTTTTTTGGAAATGGGGCTTTAGCGCCTGCTCTGCCCTCCCGGCACCGGCTCGCAGCCGCCCCGCCTCTTGCTTCCCCCAAAAAACGCTGCAGTCGCTGTAATTTCCAGCTGGAACGATCTCGTAACAGAAAGGAGGGCACGGCTCGGCGCCGAACTCCGGGGGGATGCCTCCCTGGTGCTAATTAGTTGACTTCTAAAGTGCTTCTGTTTAAATTACATGCCGCTGTAATGGGTGAGAAACCTTAAAGGCAAACGGCATCAACGGCGGATGCCACCCGGGCTGGACCAGGACTGGGGGCCCAAAACACCCCCTCAATCCACAGAGCAGCATTTGCCCCTAGAGTAACACAGCAGCTCTTCACGTTACGGATAAAAAAAAGGGATCTTTAATTTAAATAACGGCATCTCTAAACGCAGCGCTCGCGTTTGATGGGGAGGATGTGAAGCTTTCCAGAGCTGCCAACATCAGAAACAATCTCCAAGTAGCAAAGGGAGGAAAAATGAAAAATGCATGGTGTAGCCCCCAAACAACTAGCGAAGATCTGACCTTGAGCTTGTCGGCTGCGCAGAAAAACGCGTCCTGGGGTGGATTAAAGCGCTGAGCTACACTTGGATTATGTCTGAACTGCGCTGTGCAAACAGCACCATCCTGCAAGAGCACTTCTGCCCCGGCAGCGTGCTGCAACACCAAAACCCACACTTTTTCAGGAGAGAAAGCCCTTGTGTGGCTTTACCCATCTACCAGCTCCTCTGCTTCAAAACCCACATGGATTTTTCTTAGTCCCCATCTACTTGCACCCGTTGGTCAGCAGCCCCGCACCAGGCCCAGCCCCACAGCACCAAACCCACGGGGGGGGATGTGATGTCCCCAAATCCCCATGTGTGAGGGGGACTCGCTCCATCCCGGCAGTGAGCACCGACCTGTGCTTTGCACCGGGGCCGTTATCCCCGGGAACTGGAGGCTCCATCAGCGCTCATCGGCTGCAGATGTTCTGCAGCTGTGGCCACTGTTACCATTAAATAGGCATGAAGCTGCCTTTCCCACTGCCAGCACAGATGTGGTGGGATGCAGTGGCTGTGTATGGGGCCAGGACCTCCTCGCAGCCCTTCCTTGGGGTCACCCCAAACTCCCTGACCCTTTTTGGGGACGCAGCGAGCAGCAGCGAGGTGCTGCCCCCAGCCCCTTTCTGCTGGGACCCCAGAACTGACACATCTTTCCATGTCTTAGGATACTGGAAACCACTCAGACCGAGTAACCACTGCCCAAAATAAAAGTTACCGACCAGCAGCAGCCTGCAAGGCCAGTATAATCTGCATGATGGCTGCAGCTCGCTCTGTGAAAGGACATTAATCTCCTACCAGGAGGTTTTGCAGCGAGGCATTTTGGTCATGACCTATTTGAACTCGGCTGCTAGAAAAGGGACTCCGCTCCCAACTGTTCTCACCGCTGGCACATTTATTTATTTTGCTTTCTTTCCTGCTGCCCTAATTCCCCTTTTTTTGGGCAGCTGAACATATGCCAGGCTATCAGATTAGGGGTTTTTAAAAACGGAAGCAACCCAGAGCTGCTTTTCCTCCATTAGCGCCTGGGGTTTCGCAGCGGGGTCTGTGCACCCAAAAGCGCCGCAAAGCTCCCCCCAAGCCTCGGAGGAGCGGGTTTGTGGGGAGGGGGATGAGCGGCACAGGAGCACAACCCATAAGATATAAATCCCAAGGGCTAAAATGGCATTTTTCTTATCCAGAGGCAGTCACAGATGGCTGGAGTATTTTAATACGGGGAGACGCCGGGCGATTTTATGGCCGTGGAAAAACAAGCTGAGATGAATAGATTGTGTTTGGTGCGTGATTACAACGAACCCAGTGGGATTTCTCCCCTAACGAGGGAACCCCCGGCGGGCAGCGGTTTGGTCGCTGTCAGAGATCGCAGCAACGCTCGCCTCAGCCCTGGAGCAGGGACCGGCTGGGACACAAAGGGACTGAAACCAAAGCAGGGGAGTCCCAAACTGCCCCAAAGTGTTGTCCCCGCAGCAAAGCGAAGCACAAGGTGACCTAAAGGATCTCCACGACAAGGTGTAGCAGAATAAACAGCCCAAAGTCATCATCTAATGAATTACCACAGCCAGGATGTGCTCTGGGGCACTGTGCATCCCATGATCCAGATCCAGGTTAATGGGACGGTGTCCGTGTAAGCATTGACACCGGGGTTTTATGCTCCTTGGTCAGCGAGGAGGAGGGGATCTGCATCTCCATCACTCCCCAATTCTACCTAAAACAGATATTTCAAACCCAAACGCTGCTGCCGGGAGCTGGGGAATGCAGGGAGCAAAGGGAGACGCAGGCAGTAGCGGTGGTGCACGAGAGCTAAACCCCTTTGAAGCACAGGTGAGGTTCCCCCTGCGAGGGTGATTTTGGACCCTAGACCCCAAGGAGAACCTGTCGGCCGCTGCAGAGCACGGGGGTGCAGAGCTGGCACCGTTCCTGTGCCGCAACCACAGCTCTGCCCTGGTTTGAGAACAGCTCGGGAACAAGAGCAGCGCACGCCCCTGGGACCCCGGCCTGCCCAAAATAACCCGCTCCCCTCCCCACGCCGGGACGGGGCACACGCAGCCCCCGCACGGCCCAGAGAAACCCCACGGCTCCCCCCGG